CCTTACTTTTGTATCTTATCTTTTGGTGGTGTTGTTGTGATATCATTGGCCAAAGGGGGATAAGTCACACAAGGATTAAAATATCGGCCGTGCATATAATATCGGGCCTCCAATTTACGAATATTTCGGGGATATATCGTTATCGTTTTTGGTATCAGGAAAAAATCACAAAAAATGACAGATATAGACATTGAAACACAATTTTGGTGTAAAACTTTCATAGATGTTATGTACATTATCAATAAATGTATTGAACAAATAAAACTCAAAATTTACTAATAATAAGATATACATATGATGAAATATAAGTGGTATGTAATGCGCGTTAATGAAAAGTTGGAAAATAAACTGTTGATTAGAATGAAAAAACCATGCATAAATCCATAGTTTGTTTAAACATTGGATTACAATTTAGATAAGAGTCAATCTACATAAGTGAAGAGCTCCTATGAGGTTCAAACAATGAGGAACAACCATCCAGATTCATACAATAGTCATACCAAGTCATGTAACCGAAGCAGTTTGTAAGCCATGTTTGAACATGGTGCACATTGGTCTCTCTTGAGCTCCCTACTGTCCTCCCATACATGAGATAGTTAGGATTAACCCAACTAGTAGGTTCATAATCTATTTCATCATCTTAAACTCCATCACTAGTTCCCCTATAATCAAACATGACATAACCATAGCCATTATAAGATTCATTTGAGTTAGTACTAGGTCTAGTTTCTATGCTCATAGATCCAAAATTGATCGCCATGTCCTCTTCAGATGAATTGGAGGTATATGGGCAGTGGACTGTGCAAAGATTCTTCTTATTAATAAATTATAGGATTCTGGGCAAGGATGAACTATTTTTGGGTTTCAATTTGCTTCAATTGCTTTCAAAACTTCTAAATTTTTTTTGGGTTCTGTTATGGGTATCGGGAAATATCGGAGATATCAGTAAAATATCGGGAATATCACACTTATCGGGGGATATATCGTCGATACAGGGGAAGATATGGCCTTACCCCCCAGTATCGGCGTCGATAGTTGAAAATACCGATATATTGGTGTATCAGCCGATATTTCAATCCTTGGAGTCACATTATTCCCTTACTTTTCTATCTTATCTTTTGGTAGTTTAAAATATTGTATATATAAATATTATTTGGTGCATCTGTAGCCTCTCCTATAAGTATCATGCTTACTTACTTCAACCATTCATTCCAATCATTTAAGATAGATTTCTACCATGAAGTAGTGTTACACAGAGAGAGAGAGAGAGAGAGAGAGAGAGAGAGATAAGGAAGAAAAAGAAACAAGATGAAGAGCGTGTGTGTTTATCTTGCAATATTTCATACTTATTATGGTGAGTGGGTTATGTAATATGTTCTAAAAGTTCTTATTTTGTGATAAATATGAAAATCATGGGTTTATTCTATTTACAAACCTCTCTCTATTTTCAAGTCAAGCATGTCTAATTTGTGCAATACTTCACACGATATATATTATTTGGAGTTTTTGTGAAGTATGTATTATTTATGGAACATGAGAACTTCAGTGACGGGGTATCCGAAGGATAAATGTGCTAGACGAGGACATAGGGCAGTGAGGCCGATAGGGGTCGCGTACTGGGTACAATTTGTGAAGGATAACCAAGACATGAAGTAATGATGTGATATGGTTTGGATTGTGTATCTGTTTATTATATTTTTCTAGTGTGTAAAATGATATTGCTTGACTAACACATTACAGAATCTACTCACTGAGCAGTGGTTTGCTCATCCCTCACTTATTTTGTTTTTTAGATCGATTAGTGGGCAAGATAAAGCCGAAACCAGAGAAGTTGAATTACTTTAGAGTGATAAACTGCTATTTATATCTTGTATACTTGTAAGATTATTATAATATATATATAATGGTAATCTATTTTAACCAATTTTTCAGTCTTTTTATTTATTTCTTTCAATTCACTCACCCTGATTTTGGAATATTCTTTATTTTCCAATCAGGACGTGACAAAAAGGATAGTGTTTCGGTTTTAATAGGAGAGGAAAAAAAAACAAAAAAAAAGAGAAAGAAAGGGTATTTTGGCATTTAAAAAAATTAAATATTGGTATTTTCGGCATTTTAAAAGTTTCATTAAAGGGAGCCAAGTGCTTCCCTTGTTTTTGTCTTGCAACGCTTTTAAAAAGAAGCACATTTCAAGTGCTTCTTCCAAAGCCACTCCAAATGCTTTTGGATCTCACCCAAAGCACTTTTGCAATTTTTGCCAAACACCATTTTTAAAAGACAGAAGCGCTTTCACCTATTTAAAAGTGTTTTTCACTGTTCCAAAAGCACTCCCAAACGAGCCTTAAATGACCTAAATAGAAAATTAGAGCACCATTACAACTACATATATTATACAAAAACCTTTAGAGAGTCTATTTGGAGAAGAAAAATTCTCAACTAACCACTTGTCATTCTAATTAGCTCTTACTGTGTCATCATTTTCCCACTTAAAAATACAACATGGTTTTTTTTTCTCTCTAAAATGTAATGTTATAATAGACCTATATGTCAATAAAACTATTAACATACTCATGTGGCATGAACATTTTAGTAATTTGAGCAATTAAAAAAATTATATCACAAAAAGTTAAAACGGAAATTAAAAAAAATATTGCCCCAAATATGGATGTACTAAGTCACATAATTACAAGGTTTGTGATATACTAATTACATAATAGTATATAATATGTGTGTGTCTTGAAATTATTCTTATTTGGAGTTGTAGCTAGTTTAAAGTTATATATTTTCCTTTTGATAGTGAAGGTGTGCTTCGCTATGTATTTGATTCCAAATAATTAAGTGTTGGTGGAATTAGGTATGCAACGTTAATACACAACTAAATGAAACTAGAGAAGTTTTTGCAGTTTTATATTAAGCTTTCCAGTTTACTTACAGATACAATCTTCATTAAGTATTAGTTTCATACATATTGCAATACCTACAACCTATGCAGTGGGGTAAGAGGCTTCCATAGCAATGCCACATAGTCCTTCCTTAGCATCAACATCTCTTTGCATTCTTATGTATCCCTCTTCACCCCATTCCGTGCCCCATGAGTTTTTCACCAACCAATACTTAGTCCCATCATCGCTGACTCCATAACCAACAGCCGTAACACCATGGTCTAGGCTCGTTCCACAAGTTCCTGTAAAGACACCACTTGAATAGAATTGGAAGTCAGAACCACTAGCGTCAATGGCAACAGAAACAGGTTGATGAGCGACCGCGTTAAGAAGGGCCTTTTCATCGTTTGCAGGAACATCTTCGTGGCCAGTTATCTTGGCTGCAATGTTAGCTTCCTTCTTGGTGTTGCATGTACCATCAACACCGTTGTAAGGGTAGTTAGCTTCCGTGCTAAGCCCATGATTTTGTTGGATGAACTGAAAGGCATCATCCATTAAACCACCCTCACAACCTTGGTCTACACCTTTGGTGTCGCAATCAACAAGCTCTTGCTCAGACAAAGAGACCAGTTTACCAGTTGTAAGTTGAGTAATTCCTTCTGTAGCTGCCACTGCTGAAAATGCCCAACAACATCCTGGATTTTGATTGCACATAAAAGCAGTTAGAATAACAGCAAAAATTAATAAATTCCAAAAGAAGAACATGTGTAGTGTTTCTCTAATTTACCACATTGGCCTTGGTCCTTGATGGGTGTTACAGCTCCTTTCTTTCTCCAATCCATCGTAGCTGGCACCGATGCCGTGACATTTTCATACTTGAAAGAAGTCGTTTTTGTGGAACATTCATGCCCCTTGAATCTGTTTCTCGAGGCTATGAATTCTTCATTTGTAAGGTCTGTAAATTGATTGACTCTTAATTTGTAAGGTTTGCTTGAATCGGCGTTGGAAGATTCTATATACGCAACATTCTCCTTAAATATCTTGAAATGCTTTTCCTTCTCTTCATTGTCGGTATATACGCGCCCATAACGAACCATCCACTGTTCGTGTCTCCCATACATGGATGCATCTTGGAGACTACGAGAAGTGGCTTCAGAAGACCATGCACCCAGCATGATGATTAACGCCAAACAAGTACATAATTTGCACAGCTGCAGGTTAATGGACTCCATGGTAGCAAGTAGAATTTGATAAAGAAAAGGAATTAAAGAGTAGGTATATGGAAATGGGAGAGTCCTCCGCAGTTTATGTAGAGTGTTTCCTTGCCATCTCCGTGCCCCAAAAAATGCTCTGCCATTAATCTTCGTGACCCCAAAAATGTTCTGATATGGACGTATAGCTTATAATATAAATATGACCATTGGTATAATTCGTTGACGTGTGAAGATAAGGTATTGGTCATAATGGGCCCTCCTATTTACCGTCGTCCTTTTGTGCATAGTGTTCACAATGAACCCTACTATTTACCAGTTGGATCCTAAACTAAGAAGGACCATTTGCGGACCAATACACGTATCAGAATATGCTTGTTATTTTTCGTAATTTTGATAATTAAATGCTGAATTTATGATTTAATGTTTTTTTAAAAGTCCGATATTAGTTGGGTGGTGCATGATTGTAGAATACTTCTGTCACTGTTACAAGGCTGTTCTCTTGCTTTTGTAGGTCAGGATTTAGCGGTCTACAGATTAGCTCGTTTTGCTTTGTCTTTAATTAGAGTATCTTTATGGTATACAAGATGTTTTCGTTGAAAAGAGCTTATAATTTATATTTGCTTCAATAAAGTCGTTTCCTTATATTTTTTTATGTTCAAAGTGGTTTTCAATTGCTCTATAGTATATATATGAAAGTATTAGACACAATAATCACATGTTTATCTTGCAGAAAGCTGTTTGATTAAATGTAAAATGTTTATCTAGTATTGCAGATAAGCCGTTTGATTAAATGTCACTGTAGAATCCATTTTCATTTCCATCAAGTGTTCACGAAAATACAGCTTTATCTCAATTCTCAATCATATGAAGTCAGTCTAGATGAATGACTCTAATGATCTAACGACTAATATTGAAAATAGACACTTCTAATCCGGTGACGCTTACCCAGCAAATCCTTGTCCTTGTCTCGTGCACTCAGGACTTCAGATTTGGTTTCCTTCAACTTCAACTTCAAGTCTGTGGCTGTGGGAAACTTGTTCTTAATACGAATCTTCAATACATCTGCAGGCAAAGGATCAGAAGATGCTACTGCTTCAGAATCAGTACCAGAGAAGTAGCAATTCGGCTTTCTTGATTTATTTAACTCTGGAGCTTCTTCCACTTCTTTCTGTCTATTATTCTCTCCATATCTGCACCATGCACCAGTTATCTTGAGAACCATATTTGATTTCCTTTTGGTTCCTCCAAGCAGTTCCCAAGATTGCTCTTTTGCTCCTCCCAAGTAATTGTCGTTCTCCTTCTTGGATTCTTTCAGCTTTCTCTGTTTCTCCAACTTCAGATTCAGAGCCTCTTCTTCCTCTTCTTTCTGCACATTTGCTTCATTCTTCATCAACCCATCTTGGTTACTTGGCACAGAAACAAACACTGCATCCTTGGATTTCTGCGACTTCTGAAACTTGAGCAAAGATTGATCCCCAATTCTCAGCTCCTCAAGCTCTACCCTTGCAAGTGGGTTTTCAAGAAACATTATCTCACTCCCCTTATGATCATCAATTGGGGTAGCTTCTTTCAATTCCATGGTCTCTTTTAGAACAATCTTTCTGGGCTATCTTCTAATTTCGTCTTCTTCTTTTAGCTTTCCTCTAAACTGAAATGTAACGCCATGCTCCCTGTGCTAACAGAATTGAGATTCTTTATAACTGCTTTCTGTGCTATATGGATCAGATAGAGGAGTTTTGGAGGGAAAAAACCAACCGATCGAAACAGGTTCTGGGCTTTTATGGACCAAGCACACTTCACTAGTGGGCTTTTATAATTTTACTGTACTGATCAAAATTGAACTTAATAAATGTAATCACTCTGCTAGATTTTCTATTGACCTCATTTGGAATCTCGTTACACAAATGTACTTGGGCGTTATCGACACTTGAGAGAACTCAACCCAACCAAGCGCCAGTGGTTGTGTTGTGTGTGTGTGGATCAAGTGAAAGATTTCTCAGAGTCGGTAAAACAATTTTTAGAAAACTTACCTATTAGTTGTCATTAAATTCAAACATGTATCGCAACTTCGCTTAAGAACGTCATACATACGGGGATGTATCGAAGTCCTCTTTCTGTTTTCAGTTTCTCAGCTTCTCTTTTTCTCTATATTTCTATGTCTCTCTGTTTCTTTCTCAATTTGGTACTGCTGCCACAGTCACACCCCCACAGTCGCACATGCATGTAGATCTGCCATTGGCCGATCGCCATGATTGCAATGTGTGGTGGCTCTCGGTGGAATTGTCATTAACGTGTTTTTATTTCTCTTCATTTCGTCTTTTTACTTCACAATTGTGTTTCTTATTTCGTGCTCTTGTTTCACAGTTTCGTAAGGGACTCACCAATTCTTTATTTTGGTCTCTCCTAAGTCCTTATTTGGGTAGCATAAGATCTAAAAGTTTTAATTTCGCATGCCATGTTCTTCACAATATTTTTGTTGCTTGTGTTCGTCGAATGTCATCAATTTGGTCCCTCTCAATTATGTTAGTGGGATGGGGTTTGTTCTGCACATTTCATTGTATTTTTACTTCTAGAATTTTTTGTTGTGGCCTTCTTTCCGTACGAGTCTTGGCAATTCCAAAGTTGGGAGTGGTTATTAGCGGTTTTATTGGGTGTTTTCAACTTCAACGGATAAGTTTGGAGTAGTTATTTGTGTTCTTTTAGTTTCTTTATTTATTAGTTATTTTACTTTTTATTTTTTTTTAATTTGTTATTTTACTTTTTGCTTGTTTTTTCTGATTTTGTGCTTTGTTGTAGGCAAGCTTTTGGTGTCGCCAAGGTTTTGTTGGTGTGTAGATCGAAGGGGTGTTAAGCCTTCCTCTTCTTTCTTCTCTTTTCTTTTTATTTCCTCTTGAGTTGTTCAGGCGCGAGTCTTTTTTAAGATCATGCATTTGTTCCTGTCTCTCATGTTTGGGTATTGGATAGTATTGACTCTTTCAGTGCTATTAATTGTACACTCTTATGGTGCTTTTTTTTTATACAAATTTAGTTATACACCAAATCTTAGACAGTCTTATAAAGAAACCCTATACTATTTAAAAACTATAAACACACACACACACACACACAAAATAAATAAAAAATCAGATTTGCCAACTGTTCATTTTGATATTAATATTAAATTTCCAAAAAACCAAATCAGATTCATTTTCTCATTTCTTGTTGGTGCTTTCTCAGCGTTGGAGCAAGACGAGCTTCCATTGAATTTCAGTCTCAAGTCCAACTATATTCTTCATCTTTGATCTATAATTTTCAATATTTCACCTTCGATTTCTTGTTCTAAAATTGTGCTTCTATTCATCTTTTTTTCGGATTGTTCAGAACCTCGTATGAACCTCGATAAGAACCCCTAGCTCTACTCCTCATGTTCGAGCTCTACTAATCTTTCGCCACATTGTCGTCATCATCATCGTCGTCGTCGTTGTTTGGTTTGGACTTGAGATTTTTTATCTTTTGCTTTAATTATGTGTTTCTCTTCTGATTTTAGTTGATTTTCGGAATGTATTTTAAGATTTGATGATCGATTTATCTTTTGTTACTATTTCAACTATGAATCTCATTTTTGTTTAACAATATACTTCTATGACAGAGTATTAACAAGAGAGTTCTATGATAGAGTATTAACATTGTACTTCTATGACATAGTATTAACAAGATAGTTCTATAACATAATAGTATTAACAAGATAGTTCTATAACATAGTATTAACAATATACTTCTATGAAGAGCTCCTGCTTGGTTTTCACAAATTTATTTTTTAATAATTTGTTTGGGTTTTTTTTATAAAAAAAATCTAGGCTCAGCTTGTTTTGAGTTGGTCTGGTTTGTTCTTTCTTCATCCTTTCTTTGGTAGACATGGATTAGAAATAGCAACATGACAAGCATTAATTAATCAACGTGACAGTAAACTAGCAGTGTTATTTTCCTACATGGGTAGACATGCATTAGAAATATAATGTCATAGAAAACTAGTAGTGTTATTGCCCTACAGGGGTAGACATGCATTAGAAATATGATGTCATAGAAAACTAGCAGTGTTATTACCTTAGACTGGAACATTACAGGGATAGACATGAATTAGAAATATGATGTCATAGGAAACTAGCAATGTTATTACCCTAGACTGGAACATTACCACCATTAATCAACATGACAGTAAACTAGCAGTGTTATTACCCTAGATTGGAACATTACTTCCATTAATCAACATGATAGTAAATGTGTGGAACATTACAACCATTAATCAACATGATGCATTAATGAAGCTACGATTTTTGAGACGTTTTGTTGTAATAAATTGCTTGGGCTTTTTTTATTATGAAATTGGGTTGTTTTTGGGTGCTTTTTAGTTTTTTGTATTGGGCTTCTTTAAGTTGATCAATGACAGTCATGTAATTTATAGGAACTTTAACACCAATTTCTTATGTAGTAAATGGGTTTTGGGGTGTTTCTAAAGTGCATTCCATGTGAGGTTTTTATATAATTTCAGCCCATATTTTGGGTATATTAGGAAAGCTCCATATTTTTTTAATAAATAAAGCATTTCTTCCAACAACAACAAAACTTTGGTTAATGTGGCGAGCAAAAATGCTCCCACTTCAATATGACAATTGTTTGAGCAAAATTATCACGGAAGAATATTCGCAAGAGATTCCTCACCCTTCGAGCTTCCTTCTCTCTCTTCTTCCTTAATTTATACGAAAAAAGTTGGATTAAATAGACCACACTCGGGGGGTGTTGGCCAAAAGCCCTCCTATGCCTAAGTCAGTTAGATGATCTTAAGGAATATATGAAAATAACATAGAAGGTCATAGTTTTATCTCATGGGGAGAGTCGGGCGACCTTAGCTATGTGTGGTGGTGCGTGGCCATGTGAGGAGAGAGAGAGAGAGAGAGAGAGAGAGAGAGAGAGAGTGTGTGTGTGTGTCTATGTGTGTGTGTCTGTGTGTGTGTCTGTGTGTGTGGGTGTGTGTGTGTGTGTGTGTGGGTGTGTGTGTGTGTGTGTGTGTTTGTGTGTGCGTGTGTTTGTGTGTGCGCGTGTGTGTGTGTGTGCATGTGTGATTTCTCTAAGGTTTCAGAATTACCTCAAATGTGTTGTGTAGCCATCTATTTAGGCTCATTGTACGCTAGTGTTTGAAGAATGATCCTCATTTAATTAGGATTATTCTTACCCAAAAAAGATGATAGGCATTATGACAGGACCCAACCCAAATTCCACTTTGAAATTTGTGTCAAATCCTGTGCATGTCTAACACCTGGTAGGTGCCGTGCAAACTTGACCAAATTGCCCTTTTAACTAAAACTCAAAAATTCTTTTAAGGTTTGACTTCTACTGAAAAATCAGCAGAGTCTCTCCGGTAAATTGCTCGTTTCCCAATAATTACACCAGCACAAAATGCATTTCATATACCCACAAGCGTTCAGCATGCACAATGTCAGAGCACACACAATCCATCAGTAAATCTGTGTGGCCTTAGGCCTTATAGAAATCCTAAGGCAATACCAGAGCCTACTAATTAATTTAATTAACAAAAATAGTGTGTTTATAGTAGAATATCCTATATAAAGGAAGTGGATGAGTGGTGGATGATGAATGCCCGGTGGTGGTGCTCCGGTACTCAAGTACTGACTAGTGGCTCAAAGCATTAAAAGCATGAGTGGACAAGAAAAAGTTTCGCAAAATATAATATCAACATACTAACTCCACTGTTAAAACCATTTGAAAATTCATTTAATCCATGTTCTATATTCGTACAAAAATCAAGCATGCATATTTATATTCATATATTTGTTCATACATCCATTCAGCATTGAAAAATAATAATTCCTTTCCACCTAGGTGTACCCTTCATAAATCCGTCAATTCCATGATTTTTCTATTTATTTCCCATATTATACCATCAAGTTCAAGTGTCACATCGATGAATGTGATGGAAGCACATGTGGCGCAACAAACAACATGGTCTTGAGACTCAGGCTCTAAAGGCGTGTGCTTCGTACGAGACTTCCGCCGAGTAACGAGCATCCATCCTTCATTGTCATTGAAAGGCGAGTCATCAACGAAGCCATCACCATCTTGATTGCTCGGTTCGCTTGTCTTTTCTTTTGTACACAGCTCAGTCACCTGGTGTTTGCCCTTTGTTGATTGAAACTCTGATCCTTAAGACAATGCGGGCAGCGGCACCGGATCAAAGGATCCAAACACAATTGTGGCAACGTTCACATCTGCGATTTCGTCAACGTCCAACTCAATCCTTCCTTGCCTAGCTAAGTTCATAATTAGCTCCTTCAACAAGAAGCACTTCTCTACTAGATGGTTGACAATTCGGTGGTATTTGCAAAACTTGGGGTCGTTAAACCGGTTTATCTCCTTAGGCCGCTTACATTCTGGCAATTCAATCACAATTTTTTCAAGCAAGTCCTCAAGCATACCTGCGACGTAGGAATCAGGGAAAGGGTACTTTTTTCCTCCACCTCTTTCAAAGTGCGTTGACATCTATCCACCTCTCGGGATAGCTCCATCCTTTTGACTTCCTTCTTCTTATCTCGAGTGGAGATTTTGACAGGGACAGTGTTGATTGTCATTGCTTCTTTGGCAGGCTTCTTGACAGGCTTATTTGTCTTTTGTCCAAAGATTTTCTCCTTTCTATGTTCCATGACAGACTCATGCTTTCCTCCGTGGCTAGCTATACTCAACTCCATATCATGAGCATGAGTGGCTAGCTCCTCAAACGTGAGGGGTTTAATCCCTTGTAGAATTTAAAGTAACCCCCAATGATTCCTTGAATGCACATCTCGACTGTCGATATCTCCAAAAGCATATCCTTGCAATCCAGGCTTAACGAGCGCCACCGATTGATGTAATCGACGACATGTTCATCTTTCCATTGCTTGGTATATGTGAGTTCCATCATACTCACAGTACGACAACTGCTATAGAATCTGTTCAAGAATTTTCGCTCCATTTGATCCCAGCTATCGAGGGATTCGAACTCCAAGTCTATATACCAATCAAATGCATTTCCTTTCAAGGAACGAACAAATTGTTTCACCAGGTAGTCACCCTCTGTCCCAGCATTGTTGCATGTTTCGACGAAGTATGCAATGTGATGTTTTGAGTTGCCATTTCCATTGAATTGTTGGAATTTGGGAGGTTGATACCCCGTCGGCATTCGCAGGTTGTCTATCCTCCTGGTGTATGGCTTGGAATATATGAGCGTGTCTCGGGAAGGTCTCTGTATTGAACCCTGATGGTGTTCGCGATCATGTCCTGAAGTTGTTGGACCAACAAAGAACCCACCAAGGCGGCGTCAATTTTTTCGGGCGGCGTCAATTTTTTCGGGCGACTTCTCACCCAACTTTGTTTCATGACTCAATCCTTTCTCGCTGGATTCAGCCTCATAATGTGGTCCTTTCTTGTGCGCGTCTTGACCAGGCTCCTTATCCTGATGCACTTCCCACTTGTTGATGAGAGAAGCAATCTGCGCATCATTCTCTTCGACCATCTTCGTCAGTTTTGTGATCACTTCACTCATATGGGCCAGCTGTTCTTCAATAGACATTGCTCCTGTCACCATAACCTACATGGCCATAGAATAAGACTCATCTATGGACGTCGAGGCAATCTTCTTTTGTTGGTCGTCAGGCGGGGATCCATGTTATGAGCTTGTACTCGAGTCAGCGTCTAAAACAGGCGAGAGTGAACGTTCTCTTGAATTCTTCGAGCCCGAAAAACTCCTTTCTTCCTTCCAAGAGTTTTTCTCATCCGCTTGAGAGGTATTCTTCTTTGCCCCCAAGGAGGCTAGATTGATAACTGGTTCACACCTTCAGTTCATGTCTTTCGCCTTGGCTTGAGTCGGTATGGAAGTTACATGTGGAGTTGCGGATATCGCCTTGGCCTTGCTCCGGGTGACGACCCCAGTAGAGTCTCTGCTTGAGAAGGAGGCGCTCACGCTTTTGCCTCTCGTCGCAGGAACGGTTTGAATCTTCTTTGAAGCCATCGTTTTCGATGTGCTGATTGATTTTGGAACTGGAGAAATAGATGAGAGGCAGAGAAGACCCACTGGGCGTGCCAAATTTGTAAACACGAATTTCCTGCGACAAATGAGACAAGAACACGTGTACAAAATAATATTTGTATTTATGAAATTTAGGGTTACAATCTCTGTATTGAATCCTTTGATTTGATCTCCAAAGTGTTTAAAGAAAATTTGTGTTTGATACAAGGGTCGTAGAGACTTGCTCTTGATCAAACGGGTAGCACAAGGCTTGTTTGGTGTTTGGATTTTTCTGGGGTAGAGGAACCGGCACGTATTTGTTGTGCTTGGTGGCTCTTCCAAAGTGAGGCGAAGAATGCAGAGGGTTTTCTGTTTCTTCTGAATGCTTGGTCTGTCTAAGCTCTTCCTTTCATCTTGAGGCCTCCTATTTATAGGCTCTTGCAGGATGCTTGACCTAAATAACTTTCCTTCTTTAAAACCTTCCTTTGTGGAATTTTGATTTGATTTTTTTTTAAAATCAATTCCAAAAAAAATCAATTCCAATAATTTGGCAATTTAACCAAATTATCTTCAATTGATTGATTTGATTAATATTTGATTTAAATCAAAGTCAATCACAGAAGATTCCTTCCTTTAATTTTGTCTTCACTTGGAACCGTTTGATGCACTCCGTCGGATGTCAGCACGTGTCACTTTTGACAGCTAATCCAATTTTGGTGAGTCATATGCCACATGGGCGAATTATGGGGCCCACAATTCAATCCACCGAACCCTAATTATTTTCTTATCCAATGGAATTTACTGCGCCAAAATTTCTTTGTTTACATATGGATTTCCAAATCGACGCCAATTTTTGGCTCCATTTCGAGGTGTTCGATATCATCTCCTAGAGTTTGGTGGTCAAGGTTGTGAACTTGCAAATGAAGTTAAGTTGTTCAATCTTCATCATACATCCTTGAGGAATGTCATTGAGAGGATATTTGGTATATTTAAATCACGATTCACAATTTTCAAATCCGCACCTTCATTCCCATATACGACACAAACAACTAGTGTTAGCTTCTGTAAGACCACACAACTTTCTTTAAAGAGAGTGGTAGATCTGACGAATTTTTTGTTGAATTGGAGAAAGAATCTTCTTCATCTTCATTGTTACTGGTTAATGAAGGGGGATCATGAACTAGGTTTCCAAACACAAGAACAACAACGACAAAATGCTAATGAATGGAGAGTTGGTATAGCTTTGAATATGTGGAGAGATGCCGGCACAATGACAACAATGAGAATCAAGGATAATGAATGAATGTTGAATATTTTCCTTAAACTTTGCTTTCAAATTTGTTATACATTTGTCACTCTATTTCTTGTGGATTTCTTATGAATTTTGCGTTTTGTTAAACATAATTTTTTATATAATGAATTTTGCTTTTTGTTAAAAGAATATCATTCATCTTTACTATGTTTGACCAAACTACTTGGTCAGAAATCACTAGGGAAGAGAGTTTATGTATTTGAATTCTTCAATAACCACAAGAAAAAGAAAAAAAACAGAAAAATAAATATTCGAAGTTTCTTCCAAAATCATATAGCTTTGCACCATACTTTTTATACAAAGTGTCAAATGAGAGAGTAATCAGAAACAAATATCCTAAAGAAAGAAAGCACCACTTATTGCTCAGCGAAAAGCAAACATCTCTTCTTGGCTCTTTGATTGTCAAGGTAAGGATGCCAAAGAAAGCACCACTCATGCTATAAAATCCTAATTGAATATACCCTCATTTACTTCCTCAATTTGTAACTTTAATTTCCCATTTTGTAAGTTTATTTCCCAATTTTTAAGTAAAAAAGTCGTTAGTCAACTGGTTGAGGCTAGAGGTGGGCTCCACTTTGCCACATCAGCAATTCGAATTTGTGTGTAGAAAGCCACATGTATTAAATGACTAAAACATTCTTGCCACATCATCAAAATTGATGGAGTTTGGATGGATATAACAGTATAGGCAACATGAACACCAAACTTTGGTCAATACTCAATAGGGTTTGATGAATTAAAAATTTAAAAATAAAAAAAAATTGGTCGATAAAGTAAAGTTGGCTTCCAAGAAACAAAGTAAAATTTGACCATACTTTCACGGTAAATAAGTCTTTTGATAATAACCCTCAATGTGGATGGTGTAAAAACATGTAGATACCCAAAAAGTATTTTGATTTGTTTAATCAAATTTAAACACGTGGAGGCTGGAATGGAAAGAGAGGCCAATGAACTGTCTTACGTTTCTTGGACCTCTCTCCTTCATATTTCTTTTGTGTTCCGTGTCTTGGTCCGTAGTTTATTATTTCTTCTAGCACCTTTATAAGCAAAGCCAAAACAGAATTGGGGTTTATGCGTAATCCATGACTTCTCAAGCTTTTTGGCTTCTGGATATTTACATCATCTGATTCATCTCTCACAATTCACAACAAGTAAGTTCTCAAACTTCAAATTTCATACTGACCATCAAATTTATTTTGCTGTATACTTGATCATGATTACAAAAGAGTTTCTGTGCCCTGATCATGCGAGCTGTTTTTTCTATTGCATGTTTGGTTTTCCTTGTTTCATGTAGATGATCAGTTTGTTGTGACTTAGGTTTTGTGAAAAGCTTTTGTATCTGTGTACGGTGCTGGGCCTGTGATGTGAAATTGTTGTGGGATAGTCGAAACTACTGTATAGTTGTCACGGTTCCAATCTTTATAATCAAATTCAAGAGTGGCGCTTTTGTTTTTGGTCCCTGTACGAAGATAGCTGGAAAATCATATAAATGAGCTACTTTTATTAGTTTCCTGGCTCTGTATCCTCTGATTCTCTCTCTCTCTCTCTCTCTCTCTCTGGAGTGAATTTCTGCATTATGAGAGATGAATGGTAAATTAATTGAAGGACTCTATCTGGGTTCAATTAACTGTAAATGGATTGGTAAATTAATTGAACATTTTACTCTAGTTGGGTTCAATTAATTGTAGATAGATTGCTTTGCATTTCAAGTTAAGGATCGTTAGCGCTGTTGCTTCCTGAAATAGGTTTTGGTTTTCTATTTTATTTGATTATTTATTATGGCTCTCAAATACTAGGCCTTTGGTTTTGCTTCTAAAGTAATTATAGGATGCCAAGACTTCCAGTCATATAATGATAGGATTTTCCATGGAGACAAATTAATTGTCCTATACTCTATCCATGTATGTGCAAGTCTTCCATGTTGGCTGTGTTTTGGGCTGTTGTCCAGTCAATAATTTTTAACTTCCATTTCATCAAGGCAATCATGTGACATACCCATCAAACTTTATGATATGATGCCTAATGTTAGTCCTTGTTTGAGGTGATGTACGGATGGTAATTGGAGAAAGTTACTGTTCTAATCAGTTGGTTTGTTTGTCTGATTTGTTCAGTTCACCAACAGAAACTATGACATGTTTCCATCTACCACACTGATAATGATTTTGGCTGAGACTGGGTGTAACTCTACTAAAATTGATTTTTTATAAACAACTTAGTGTCATTTTGAGAGACGGAAAGCATCTGGGAATCTACTAGACTTGAAATCTTTAAAGCTACCATAGACATATAGCATAAGCTAGAATGCTGGTGTATTGCTTTATTGCCCGTTAGGTCTTTCCTGGTAAAGTTTTGTCTTTTCGTAGGTATCATACAGAGCCAGAATGTCTCATTTGTTCCATAATAGGCGATTTAGTGTTTCAGAGATATTTCTTGCAGCTCTGGTAATAATTTATTCATTAAAATATTTATATTCAGAGGCCATAACTCTCTGTATGCATTCACACAAATGCTCGAGTATGCAAATTTTATCTTTCCCTTCGGCTGGTGTCCAGAGTGACTAATGGCTGCGTTTTGGGAGAGGAGAGAAGGGGAGGGGGGATATATGAAATTCTTAATTTAGCTTTTATTTGATGATTGCACCTCCATGAAACATGAAAGCACAACAGAATTAGTGTGCTTTTTGAAGTGGAATCATTTTTTGCATTACAGAGTTTGAATGTAAAGGGCAAGCATTACCTGAACCTGGTACAGGAGATATTTATTAAATTTGTTTCTGTGTTGGAAGATCAAGATTATCAACATTTGAACAAGAAGTGTGTTGCAGTGCATCTGTATTGTGATTCTTTTTATTTTTATGAATTAGACCATGTTTTGGCGTTTGCCTTTGTTAGGTGCCCCTTTTGGGATATTAAATAATAGCTTTTTGTTAATTGATAATAGACCTCATTGTTGGAATCTTTGGGTATCATCGGTTACAAAAATTTCTGTACTTTTGTTGAAGACGTTGGCTTTTTTCAATAATTTTTAAATATATTTAAGTCAATGGCACACGCTTAACAGCAGAAAGAACAAATTCAATAGCACTAGAAAAATCATGCACCATTTTGGTATAATATTTCTGTTTGAATGCTATGTACATTTTCCCGTAGCTAGAAGCTTCTAATTTACTCAAAAAAAACATTTTATGGGTCCTTTGCTTCTTCTTCAGATAAGAGTCATTTTTATGTTTCGTGTGAGCTTCTTCTAAATTTCATATGATTTCTTGCAGATGAATGCCAATTTGATATAAGAATTGATTACCGGAACTACAAAATAGCGGAAGATACACCTGTTCTGTAAAGTTTAATTCATGATCACTATGGATGTAAATGGTATAACCTGGGTTGGGGGTGTATATGAGAAATTCGAATCTATGTGCTTGGAGGTGGAAGAAAATATGTACCAGGTAAGCCCTTTGAAGTTATTAGTCTTTTTCTGTCCACATGATTCCTAAGATAAGGTCCTCATCTATATAAATGGAATGTTTGCCGTAGACTGCTGATCTGGAGGTGTTAATTCATAAGTTTACAATTATTTCTTCGTCTTCATCCTCCTTTCAGCACTTATTGACATCTTTTTCTTGCCTGTATTGTTCTTTATACTGGTTATTTATTTTACAACTATATCTATGATCATCTGTTTCAGTGCCCTATGCCAAATACGGCTTTATGTGATTTTGTGTTCATCTGAGACAGTAGTCTTTTTAATTTTATTCTTGAGTTGCTCTAGTGGTTTCCTTTCCCATTAACCGATATTCTTGCTCATTCTTTTATTTGGGACAGGACACTGTCAAATTTGTTGAGAATCAGGTACAGACTGTTGGTGCAAGTGTTAAAAAGTTCTATGCAGATGTAATGCAAGATTTGCTCCCTGACTCTTTGATGGATCCAGAGAAGATGTCAGCCTGTGGTTTCCCTGTCGAAAATATTTTTGATGTTGATAATTCTAAAAGTTCAAGGATTACCAAGAAAGAAGAACCTATAAAGGCTAATGTTGAACACTTAAATAGGGATTCAGAGGTGATATCTTCTGTTAAGAATAAGGATGCGGACCATAAACCATCCTTCCTTGAACAACACATATATGACTATCGCACACAATCTGCAGAGAGTTGTGCGGAAGAAGCATGCTTGGACTTGTACTCAAGACAAGACCATGTTGGGAATATGTTTAACAATACAAACTTGGCTGTCAAAGAGAATCCAACGAAGCACAGATGTCCACAGGTGATTCCTCCTGCTGAAAAGGATTTGAGCAGACGATCATCATCCTGCCATGAAACCCATAAAGGTTCATGCGAGCATATAGATACATTTATAACCCCTTTTATAGATGAAGGTATGGCATGTGACTCCACTAGGGAAGGTCGTGTTATTGCAATGCAAGCCAATGTACTTCTGATGTTTCAATTGGCTGCCGCTCATCTGATATGATTGTTTTGGATAAGTCGGATGCAAAAGAATGGAATGAAATATTAGATTCATCCTTTGGTGGCTTATCATTAGAACCAAATGGTAACTACTTTTGGACCCTGTAAAAGTGTATTGTTTTTCACCAACCTTGATGCTTGTTCACTTTTGATTTCGGGTTTGGCAGCTGCAGACATTTGTTTCAACAATGGGATGGTTTCTCTGGTAGGATCCTCTCCAAGTGGACAAGTACAGTGTGAGAGATATGCTGAAAAGGAGGTCTCAGCGTCTCATCCTGGTACCACTGAGTACATCTCATTCTGATGCACATTAACCTTCTTGTTCTTGTTATTGAGTTGAGGCAAGATTTTGTTGATGTCGGTTTTAGATTGACAATTGATTGATGAAAAGTGATTGTGAAGATAATAACTCTGACATAATGATGGAGATATTTTTCTCAACTCTGGACCATTATAGATTTATGTTCAGGTGGGATCCAGATTTTATATGGGTCCATGATAATCTGAAATCTCTTTTGTACATGTGAATTTGTATACTTCACTTATATGGGTTTTCTAGATTGTGTACTGGTTCATGATAATTTGAATGTTCATTTGTACATGTGGTAAGTAGTAACTGATGACTGCAAATTTTTCAGGGGGATCACATGACTCCAATTTGGATGCGATTGAGAGTAATATTGTTGTTGTACAAGAAATGGAAACCATTCAACAATCTGCCAAGGCGAAACTTGAGGAGACTTGTGTGATGGTGACTGATGAGGATGTTCATTTTGTTCCTCACATGGAAGGCAAGCGTAGGCCTTACAAGGTACACTCTCCATCCCTCCTGCCCCTTATTCTCCCTACTTTCGCTGGCTTTAATTGAGACTTCTTTTCTAGAAAAAACTTCAGAAAGCCTTTTCCTCAAGACTGAGGTCTGCAAGGAAGCAAGAATATGAGCAGCTTGCATTATGGTATGGGGATGATGCAAAATCAAATTTGGAAAGTGAAGACGGTGTACTTCATTCTATTACTATGGAGGAGACGAAGAAATCACCATCTCATGTTTTTTGTGAATCTGAATGGGAGATTCTGTAGGTACCCTTGTAAAAAGCTTATGTAAATAAACCGCCTCACCGCAGCCTCCCCTTGCTGATTATGGTGCTGTCCAAAATTCCTAGCTTAGGATAAAATTTGTACCGAAGTGGGTAAAATTCCCAACGATCAACTGCTCTACCATGGAGTATATTAACAATTATGTAGTCTCCCTAACTTAAAGTGCTTGGAAATGTTATTTATATTTTAAATGGGACCAAGCCAATTGAGACGTACCTTTGTAGTCAGCATTGTTAATATATTGGCTACTATTATGCATGGTTAAACTATTGTTTGCGCTGCTATGCTGTCTCTGTTGTGGTTTTCTGGTGTTGTATTTTATTTATTTTATTTTATTTTATTGTTTTCTGTGTTGAATTTGTGAATGGAATGTGTTGAACTTGCGTAAATGGTTCAACAAAGTGCCTAGAGGGGAGAACAACTTATTCAAGTTAAGAGTTATTATGGTTACTATGTGGTGCAAACATCTTCTTCATGGTTTTTGTTGCTGATGGCAAGCAACTTATTGATATGCTTGTTCGTTAATGTCTTAGGACTTCATTGAATTCAAACACATCATGGGGATAAGGTCTTAACGCTGAAGATAGTGATTTTCTTTTCTTTTCTTTTTTCTCTGCCATTTCTAAAGTGAACATACAGAGCTTTTGCATCCATACGGAAGCCAAATTATTTATATGATTTAGTGTACTTGATTTTTGTAAAAACGTGGTCTGAGATTTTAGTTTGCCTGCCAGTTTAATTTAGACAGGCTACTAGGTCATGCTGATTTCTGGCACCTGCAGGGCTTGCCAGCTGCTTAAGTTTACAGTTAAACTTAATGTAGGTACCTTTTCTGTATATTTCATCCTCTCTTATAAGTCCCTTCTCTTATAACTCTGTTGAAGGAACGAAGTATACAAAGTCCACTAACACTCATGACAGATCAAACAAGCAGGTCTTACGAGCTAAGAATGACTTCGGAAGTGTCCAAGAGCAATGAAGCATACAATAGCCTATTCCAGGTATCTGGCAGGCCAGGCAGACACCAGTGGCTGCAATCAGCAGAGGACTCTGGTTGTCTTTGTTGCATAGCTAACTGCTTCCATTGCTTTGTCTTGTAAATCATTGGGTGTGCATCTCTTCGATACTGAGACAGCTTCGTAATGTTCAGGTATGTCACCGGGGTCTTCATGCGCTGGATTGTTCTCTCAACAGCTTCTATAATTTTTCTGGGAAATGTTGTTTCATAGGAATCGTCCGTGATGGGTTGGGTCTTGTTGTAGCACCAAAGCTTTCCCTTGTGCTCTGGGGAAATGCTCCGGAAGAAGACTCTGGTTTTGGTCACATCCACATTTTGATCAATCCAACGTGCCCAGGTATTCATAGCCTTCTCAAATGCTGATTCAATCTCCATATTCTCCACCGTTTTTCCCTCATTTTGAAACAAGTCCCACCTGAAAATCTGACATCCATTAGACAAACTCTTTGATAAATATTCATTGATTTTCTTTAGTTAGAGAAAAAAATAAATAAAGAAGACTTACGCTTTGATCTTTCCATGGTGCACCCACCAGTGACCGGTGTTGAATACCATAACATCTGCCCCGACCCACTTCTTGGCTGAGGTAGCAACTCTGTCAAGCCTAAGAATTCTAGCACCATTCTCTTGGTTAATTTCTAGCTGCATTAGAAATGGGCTCCAGTAGAACTCAACAGAACAGTTATACTCCTGCAGTAATATAGAACCAACCAACCAAGTGTCGCACAGTTAAAAAGGGTTCACTAGGAGAAAGATTCTACAACTAGAAGCACTTTGAAACCTACCTTTGCTGTGAAGACCTTGTAGATGCCACTTTCCACATCAACTTGGGCTTGAGAGGGTGGGAGAGCCGAGTAAAGTAGACAAGCTAGAGATTCCCACTGGTTTCTGTTGAGAGAGTCCCCAACTACTATCACTCTCTTTCCTCTAAGTCTCTCTAACATGTCTGTTCCATTAAACCTTCAACCATAACAACCTTGTTTACATATATTTTGATGCAACAAAGCAAAATGTAACAATATTATTAACACATACTTGGGTTAATTAATCAATTAGCTCACCTTGGAATCTTACACCCCTTGGCCTCCCAACTCCATTTCTCATACATGAAATCTGCCCTTCCATTCCTTTGGCAGCTGACTTGGTCACTAAGAAATGGACACTGAGCTCCTTGGTAGAGAGGGCTTTGCTTCGGATCGTAAACCCATTTTCCATCAAATACATTGCATTTGTCTTCTTTATTTATCTGTTTCATGTGTTCCTTCAAGTCTGCTACTTGCAAGAGCTTCATGTTTGCATCTGATTCATTGGCCGGTAGTGTTGATTTTATGGCTATGTTCCCAAGAGTTGATAGGTTTACCCTGTCATGGCTGTGGTTGAGAAAGAATATCAGAATGATGCAGCTTATAAAGCTTGCAGCTGTGCACAGCCTCCATCCTTCACCAATGCAGGATATGGTGTCCATTGCAGCAGTAACTAAGCTGAAGAGAGGTTTATGGTTGAAGTTGTTTGAATATAACTTATAAGCAGTTGGGTTAAAACTAATAATCACCAAAATTGATAAAATTTTGCAAGTTCTAATCAGTGGAACTGAGTGGTTACCAAAGCACGTTCAGAAGCAGTAGCAGGTACTTAATGGTTTAGGTAGAAGCTTTAGCTTCCTGACTTTTCCACATTTGGTTGGGGGTGGAGTGGATATAACAAACCAATTTTCTAAAACCATATTTTCTAGATGATGTTGATGTCTCCTCATGAATTTGTATTGGCCATTTGTCACTGGATGCCGTTGAGGCTAGATCATGAATGCATTATCTCCATTTGATCAATTTAAGGGAGTATTTTGTTTCTGTTTTTGACGCTCATGTGAATAATGGATATGGGATTTCTTTTCTGTGTTTGGTACACCTACTAATGGAATCAGCTTTTTGCATGAGCTCGGCAATAAGTTTGAAACAATAGAATATTAGCATAAGCAAGGGGCTTATAGCTCCGGTGGTCAATAGCAGTTACTCTATACCTTAGGTCATGTGTTTGAATCTCCACCTTAGATCATGTGTTTGAATCTCCTTTTCCCAATATCGCTTATGTCAACAGCAAACATAAGCTATCATTTACATTAGAGTTGGCTATTCATGTTAATGGGTTGTATTCGTATTGAATTAATAGATGTTGTCTGCTTATAATCATGTCGTGTTCAAGTAGAATCATTTACAATTGTATAGAGTTCGGGTTGACCCAATGTGTCAAGTGAACGAAACAATTAACACTAACATTTCTACAATAAAAATCACTTAGTATCTCTAAATCAATGAAAACTCTATGAAAAACTAAACTGATTAATTTTCAAGATATGACTTCACCACCTCTACTACCATTATATTGTCATGACTATCACCACCATTGCCGTTGCCACCACTACCACTGCAACTGTTGCCACCCCACCGTCACCACGACCACAACCGCCACCGCTACCTCCTTCCCCCCAAACACCTTTTAATTGAATAAAATAATATACATCAAATTCTTTTTTGTGGAAGCAAAGATTTGTCATAGCCTAAAATTAGTCTAGAATCAATTGAAATCCACAACTCTGTATTTATCAATGAGTTTTTAAATACAACCAAACTTTTATGGAGTCATGATTGGATGCATCCAAATTTAGATAGACTCTTAAAAGTCCGGATTGAATACACCCATAATTTTATAAGCTTCTATAAAAATGTGATTGAATAGACCTGGACTTTTAAACTTCTTTAAAATCTTTTAAAATCTCAATTAATCTTTTAAAAGTAATGTTTTATTTAATAACTAATATATCTAAGACTGAACATGTTAAGCCATCCCCAATGGTTGGGGCTCTAAAAGAGGTTGATAGAGCCTCATTTAGGGCTCTAATAGAATCTTTGGAGCTCTAAGACCATCTCCAACCATTTGGATGGAAACCCAAATTTTCAGTTTTGAGTCCAAAATTATTCTCCAGCTCATATATTTTCGGGGGTCGAAATTTGAGAAATGTCAAATTTGGGATGGAATTCCAGTCTAAGTTTTGCCTGGACTGATATTTTGTATAGAGCCCAAAGCTTTGTTTGGAAGCCCAAGTGAAGAGGAAAAAGAGTTGGGCCCCACGTGGCCAACAAATTTTTTATTTATTGCAACGGCTATATTTTACATCAATGATTAGAATTAATTTTAGTGCTAAACGGTAAAATTTCACATCTAACGTCTCAATTTTAAATCAAACTGTCAAAATAATATTTATAATTAATCTAAATCAAATCCAATCCCAAAACTTATTTCAAACTCTATAAATAGCCATTCATTTGGTAAGTAATCCACCAAAAATTATTTTTTATTCATTTGGTAAATAATCCACCAAAAATCATTTTTTTCCTTTCTCCTTTTATTATATTTCTTTATTCTACTTTCATTCTTGTTGAGAATGGCCCCAAAACCCCAAAAAGGTGTGAATTGGAAACCACAAGAAGATGAGGCATTGTGCAAAGGGTGGGTTTCTATCTCTGAAGAGGGGACTATTGGCACCAATCAATCAAATGACTCATTTTGGTTGCGTGTGTACCAAAAGTTTTTGGAAAATGATTCGTGCACGAGCAGAGCCGGAATACAATCACCGCAAGCTATTGCTTCTCGGTTCAAAATCATTAACCAACAATGTTCTTTATAGAAGGCATGTATGACAGAGGCCAATGCAAGGCATGTGAGTGGCTCCAATCTTGAAGATGTGGTGAGTACCCATTTTTTCAATGCTAAAATTTATAATTCTAATTCTTTTCAATTCTTAACTTGATTTTTATTTTATTTTGTGGGTAGGATATGAATGCAAAAACACTTTTCTTGAATGATAATAAACCTCTAAATAGGCCTTTCAAGTTGTATCATGCTTGGAAAATCTTAAAAAATGACTGTTAGCTTTTGCTCTAGGGATAGATTTTGTCATCCACAAGCGTCTATCTTCTGGGTAAAGTATGGCTCATGTGCAGCATCATCATTCAAGATGCAATAGAAAAGCTCTCTTCTTATGCAAAACCGCTTGCGAAAGTCCACTAAAGGATAAAGTGGTCTTTCACAGAATAGTCCTCCATGAGACTCTTATGATGTTTTTCTCGCTTCCGATTCTTGTATTCACAACCTACAATAGAACCACCGTGTTTGGATTGTTGAGCATATTGCTCCAACAAAAACGGATGGTGTTGAATGGCCATTGCAACCCTCTGTTGATGAAGGTCATCATCATCAGAATCATCATTGAAGAAATTTTATATAGCCTTCCCACATGAATTCATTGTAAGAAGGAGTAATGAGATTGAAGGAGATTGTGTGGTCAATTCAATAAAATAACACTTATTAAATAGACAAGAGAATGAGATGACCTACATGTTTGAAAATAATTGAATGAAGATAGAAAAAGATAGGGAAAGATAAGGGAATCAAATAAAGTGAGATGAACAAAGATGAGCAATGGTTCAGAACATGATTGAAACAATACAATAAGATATGGGAAATGGTTTATAAAATAATTGAATGAAGATATGAAAATATAAGGGAATCCAATAAAGTGATATGGACAAAGATGAGCAATGGTTCAGAACATGATTGAAACAAGACAATTGGAGATGGGAAAGGGTTCATAAAATAATTGAAGAACACAAGTGGAGGTGGGCAGAAGTTCAGAACATTATTGAATGAAGATAAAGGAATCCAATGAAACAAAAGTAAAAATGGAAGACAATTATGGCAATGGTTTCAATGAAGGATTCGAATTATTCCAGGCATATGCAAAAGTAGCAGCTCTAGGGATTGCTGCCGCTTTTAAAAAAATCGTGTGGTTCCATTGTTTTTAATCTAAATCGTGTGTAACTTATTTTTACTTCCAAAATCCATGAAATAAAATGTTGTTGTACTTGTTTTTATTTTTAAGTGAAATTCTATTATGTTTTGGATTTTTATTTTTTTAGGTTAAAATGTTTAGAAAATTAAATCACGAAGGTTGAAACAAAAATAATGTCAAGAAAAATTAACGAGAAAAAAAAATTTAAGGATTAATCATTCTTAAACAATTTAATAAAGTTGTGGACTTAAATTATGAGTCTGTAAGGATGGAGGAAAAAAAAATTGAGTCTTGAAGATACATGAATATTTGTATTTTGGAGGGTGGAAATCTGAATTTAGCCCCAACATGGTTGAAGATGGCCTAAAAGTTATTTTACTTTCATGTATCTTTTGATATATTAGTTTTTTTTTTTCAAAAAATTTCAACCAAAAAATTTAAAATTTGGCCAAGATTTGAAAATCTTATCTATTAAAAAAAAACTTGATTGTTACCTTGGAAAAGAAAAAACAAGCAAGCCTCATCCGTCAAACCCAAACTCAAACCTTATCTAACCTATCCCCTTCATTGGTCACATTAAATAAAAAATAAAAGAAAGAGGAAGCAGCCATTGGTCAAGAAGAGTATAGGAGCTGCAGTCCCAAGGCAAATCATCAATAACACACAGGGGTTGGTAGCTTTTTCTCCATGTGGATCCCATTCAGTTTCATGGGTCCCCTAAATATGGGTATAGCTCCGATGGGGCTCAACCGTTTAAGGCCTCAAAATTCAACCATTGGGGATGACTTTTTTGCTTAGATTGCTATATATTGCAACCCAATGGTGGTGCAGACTCCTTTCAAACCCCATTGGGGTAGTAGTCGGATAAAGGGGCATTGGTGGGCTGCGTAACACAAGAGGATCAGCCCTCTTGTTCCTATATCTATCTCTTTCTCATCTCCTGTCAGCCGCTCTGCACTCACACTAGCTAGGTTCCAACTAGCCGTCTCACAACCGTCTTCGCCGCCATCAGCCACCGTATCTCTCTCATCTTGTAGCCGTCTCGCAACTGAAACCCCAATCCAAAAAACCCAGGTAAGCTAAATTCTCATGAGATGAGACCCTGTGGTCATTTTCTGTGGTTTATGTTGCCTTCTTGTTATAATCAAAGCAAAGATATATAGATAGATGGTGCCACTCAAAGACATAGTGCCAGCAGCACAGAACAACATAAACACAAGGTTCATACTTTTGGACAAAAGCATGAAGACGTCGTCGTCATCGGAAGGCCTTAACCAGACATGCCTGGCACTCGTGGCAGATGAGACGGCGGCGGTTCACTTCCAGCTGTGGGGAGATGAGTGCAATGCATTCGAGCCCCAACAACTCTGAGAAGTACATACAGGAGGCTGTGATTTCTCCACATTCACGTATATTTCCACCCAAATAAAGATCCTCAATAGTAAAAACTAGAAAGAGTTAAAAGCAGAGGAATGGCAGTAAGCTTTCCATTCGTCTTTGGTAATTTTATCATCCTTGTCATTATATATACATATCCAGTTTTTGTCTCAAATTAGACAACCCAAATGCATGGTATCTAAATGTTAATTTTAAGGACCCAAAAAAGAAATTAGCTAGAG